GTACACAAACACACTCACATCCCCCATGGGTGTTGAAAATGGTTGTTAGGAAGCCTAACGATTGTTATGTAGCGGTAGTGACATGGACCAATCGTTTTACACCCCCTTATAATGAGGCTTTTTGATTTCGCGACAATAGTGGAAAAAGTGAAAGAAGCTATAATTTTTTCTTTGGGGTGGCCGAAAATGAGTGTTATCAAAAAATTTTATTCAATAGAGTTTCCTCTAACGAGTCATAGTTAATATAATATATATATATTTTTTCGGTAAGTAAGATAATATCATAAAAGAAAAGTGAACATGTATACAAGTGAAACCAAAAGGGATGTGTTAGAGTATGTGTGACTCATATTTGCTGTGTGCATAATGGCAAGGAGACAGATTGCTGCACGATCACAACAACTGGTATCAGAGCTAGACTACGATGTCTGAGATTTCCTCTACAAAATTCGACATCATGAAGTTCGACGGAACTGGAAATTTCAGATTATGACAGAGGAGGGTGAAGGACCTGTTAGTGCAACAGGGCATGGTGAAGGCATTATATAAAAAACTACCGGCAGGAATGGACGACATGGATTGGAAAGAATTGGAAGCGAAGGCTGTGGCGACTATTAGGCTTTGTCTGGCTGATGAAGTGATGTATCACGTCATGGATGAGGAATCACCGGCGGAAATTTGGTTGAAACTGGAAAGTCAGTATATGTCCAAGTCGTTGACGAACAAACTCTATATTAAGCAAAAACTATATGGTCTTAAGATGTCAGAGGGCTCGGATTTGACCCAACACATCAACGTGTTCAATCAGATCATCAGCGATCTGAAGCGAGTTGATGTGAAGTTCGAAGACGAAGACAAGGCGCTGATGTTGCTGAATTCCTTACTGGTGTCTCCTACGTACGAGAATTTGGTTACGACTCTGATGTGGGGGAAAGAAACCCTCGAGTTGGAGGATGTCACAGGTGCTCTGTTAGGTTTTCATCAGCGGAAGAAAGCCAGTGATGAGGCTTCACAAGGTGAAGGGCTTGTGGTGAAAGGTAACCAGGAACGTGGAAGAAGCAAATCTCGGAATGGATCGGGTAACAATAAAGCCCGGTCCAAGTTGAGGAAGAAGAAGAAAGACGTCTCCGTCTCGTGTTACAAGTGCGGGAAAAAGGGGCACTTTAAATGGGACTGTCCAGAGAAAAAGAAAGGGGATTCAGAGAACAAAGAGGGTGCATCAAAGTCTGCAAACGTAGTGGAAGAAGAAGATTCAGAGAGTGGTGACGGAGATATGCTTTCTGTTTTATCTAGTTCAGATCGTTTAACAGATTCTTGGATTATGGATTCAGCATGTTCCTATCACATGACACCCAACAAAGATTGGTTTGACACCTACAGGTCAGTAAATTCTGGTTCTGTTCTGATGGGTAATGATGCATCTTGCAAAGTTGTTGGAATAGGAAATATTAGAATTAAGATGTTTGATGGTATGGTTAGAACGTTGTGTGATGTTAGACATGTACCGGATCTAAGGAAGAATTTGATTTCATTGGGCACTTTGGATTGTAATGGTTATAGTTACAAATCTATAAGTGGAGTAATGAAAGTAAGTAAAGGCATGCTGACAGTGATGAAGGGACAGAAAGTAGTAGGAAACATTTACAGACTGCTGGGTACTACAATTGTAGGTGGAGTTGCTGCTGTAGAGTCTGAATCAGATAATACAGTCTTGTGGCATATGCGGCTGGGTCATATGAGTGAGCGTGGGATGATAGAGCTTCATAAGAAAAATCTATTGAAGGGTGTCAAGACATGCAAGCTCAATTTTTGCAAATATTGTGTTCTTGGAAAACAGAATAGGGTGCAGTTCAAGACAGCCACACACAAGACAGAGGGGGTTCTCGACTATGTCCATACAGATGTTTGGGGACCAGTTAGCGTACTATCACGGGGAGGATACATGTATTTCGTGAGTTTCATTGATGATTACTCACGAAAGGTCTGGGTGTACTTCATGCGGCACAAGTCAGAAGCGTTTGCCAAGTTCAAGCTGTGGAAAGCTGAAGTAGAGAACCAGACAGGGAGGAAGATTAAATGTCTCAGGTCAGATAATGGTACTGAGTACACAGATTCAAAGTTTCAGGAGTTGTGTGAGCAGCATGAGATCAAGATACACTTCACAGTCCGCAAGACACCACAACAAAATGGTGTAGCGGAAAGGATGAACAGAACGATAGCCGAGAAAGCTTGGTGTCTCAGGTTGAATGCAGGGCTTGCAAAGAATTTCTGGGCAGAGGCAGTGAATATGGCATGTTTCTTGATTAACAGATCACCGAGGGCAGTACTAGATGGGAAAGTATCAGAGGTGTGGACAGGCAGTGAGGTAGACTACTCTGGTTTGAGAGTATTTGGATGTCCAGCCTATGTACATATTTCTAGTGAGGAGAGGTCGAAGCTTGATGCGAAGTCTAGACAGTGTATCTTTCTGGGATATCAGAAAGGAGTGAAAGGCTTCAAGCTCTGGGATCCGAAGGCAAACAAGATGGTGATCAGTAGAGATGTGGTTTTTGATGAAAAAGCCATGTTGCAGCGTACTCAGGAAGAAGAGAAACAAGTACCAGAAAACTGTAGCACTAATGACCATGTGGTGCAGGTGGAGCTAGAGAATCATGGTAGAGAAGAGGATGCTCAGCATGTAGAGCGTTCTATCTCAGGTGATCAACAACATCATAGTATAGCCACAGACAGGCCCAAACGCAATATCAAGCCACCTACCAGGTATGGTTTTGAAGATTTGGTTTCTTATGCGCTTATTACTAGTAGCGGGGATCCTACAACTTTTCAGGAGGCAGTACAAAGCCAAGAGAAAAGTAGATGGATGGGTGCTATGGTGGAGGAGATGGAGTCTCTGCATAAGAACCAGACGTGGGAGTTGGTGGAACTTCCCGAGGGGAAGAGAGCAATAGGGTGCAAATGGGTGTATAAGAAGAAAGAAGCAGTATCAGAAAATGAGGGAGAAAAATTCAAGGCTCGTCTAGTAGCAAAGGGTTACTCACAGAGAAAAGGGGTTGACTATGATGAGATCTTCTCCCCCGTGGTCAGACACACTTCCATCAGGACAGTGTTGGCACTAGTAGCACATTCAGATATGCAGTTGGAGCAGATGGATGTAAAGACAGCTTTCCTTCATGGCGACTTGGAGGAACGGATTTACATGGTACAGCCAGAAGGGTTCAGTCTCCCTGGAGAGGAACATTTGGTCTGTAATTTGAAGAAATCACTTTATGGGCTGAAGCAGTCTCCGAGGCAGTGGTACAAACGATTTGACTCTTACATGATCCGAATTGGCTACAAAAGGTGTGAGTATGATTGTTGTGTCTATGTAAAAAGGCTTGATGATGATTCATTTATTTTTCTGTTACTTTATGTGGATGATATGTTGATTGCTGCCAAGAGTATGAGTGAGGTCAACAAGTTGAAGACTTTGTTGAGTAGAGAATTTGACATGAAGGATTTGGGTGCGGCCAAGAAGATTCTTGGGATGGAGATTCGCAGGGACAGAGCTTCCAGGAGATTATGGCTATCTCAGCATAGCTATGTTGAGAAGGTGTTGGACAGGTTCAGCATGAGTTATGCAAAATCAGTAAGTACACCTTTGGCGAATCATTTCAGATTGTCTACCGCTCAGTGCCCGAAGACAGATGATGAAGTTCATGACATGTCAAAGGTCTCATATGCTAGTGCAGTGGGGTGTTTAATGTATGCTATGGTTTGTACAAGACCAGATTTGGCACAAGCTGTCAGCGTGGTTAGCAAGTTTCTTTCAAATCCGGGTCGACAGCATTGGGATGCAGTCAAGTGGATTTTCAGATACTTGAGGGGCACTACAGACTATGGCATCAGGTTTAGCAGACAACAGAGTGACCCTTCAGTTATGGGATATGTGGATGCAGACTATGCAGGGGACTTGGATGACAGGAGGTCTACCACAGGTTATGTGTTTACTCTTGTGGGAGGACCTATTTGTTGGAAGTCCATGGTACAGCCTATAATTGCACTATCTACTACTGAGTCAGAGTATATGGCAGTAGCTGAGGCTGCCAAAGAGGCTTTGTGGCTTACAGGTTTAGTCAAGGAGCTGGGTGCCCAGCAAGGTGGAGTTCAATTGCATTGTGACAGTCAGAGTGCCATTTATTTGGCAAAGAACCAGGTGTATCATGCGAGGACCAAACATATAGATGTGAGGTTTCATAAGATCAGGGAACTGGTTTCTTCTGGTGAACTATTACTTGAGAAAGTTCACACTTCTAAGAATGCAGCAGACATGTTGACAAAGCCTGTTACTACAGACAAGTTCAAGCACTGCTTGGACTTGATTAATGTCTCTAGTTGCTAGATGGGAGATGCCTCAACTCAGCGTTTCCGGTGGAGTTCTCGAATACATGTCATCTTTTTTTTCCTAAGGGGTGAATATTTGCCAAGGTGGAGATTGTTAGAGTATGTGTGTCTCATATTTGCTGTGTGCATAATGGCAAGGAGGCAGATGCCGGAGCATAGCCCGCGACGACATCTGCTTTGCGGGATTTGTATAAAGGGGACGTTGATTAGTTGGGGGTGCGGGGGCAACGCCCCGCGGTACGGTACAGGGGTATTTTTGTAAATACGTCTATATTAGGGTTATATAAATACTTAAGATGTAACCCTACTTTGAATAATGAAAAAGAACAGCCGCTCACTCTAGTGGATGTAGGCACATTGCCGAACCACGTAAATCTCTGTGTGTTATTTTCTCCTGATTTCTTAATTGTTTGATTCCTTACTATTCACCATAATTGCTGCACGATCACAACAGGATGATTGATCTTCTTTAAACAAGAAAAAGAAGATCCCCCATCTCCATAGCGAAAGAATACAAAAAAAAGAATACAAAGCACATTCCAAAAGGAAACCAGAAAATGCCAAGATCCAACACTGGACGTCAAGACATGATCAGCAAAATGAAACATCAAACAACAGCATCAAATAGAAGCAGCAACACCAACAACACAACCACCATTTAGATAAAACAACTGAGCAAGAACCAGCAAGACAAGAAACCAACACACACCACATGTCCCACAAGTGGTGCACCCAACAACCAAAACAAAAAAAAGAAACTCACCAAGACAAACACCAGCAACATGCCACAAGCCCCACAGGTGGTACACCCAACAAGCAGATATGCAGCAGAGTGGTAAGAGGAAAATGCAGCAGAGGGAGAGAATCCTCCATGAACTTTACCGAACCCAACTAGTGTTACATCATGGCCCGGTAAGCTTGCCCACATAGTGATACAAAGCACTTGCCATCCCTAGAAAACAGAACAACCAACAACAACAAACAATTAGCTCCCACACAGCACGAAACCCGCAACAATATACCGTAAAAGACAGAGCAAAAATAGAGGATGAACCATCGCATCATTGACGCAACAAGAGCATCACACCCTCCAAACATACTCCATAAACAAACACATCACAAGCATTCCACTGGAAAGGCCAAGACCAACGAAAAATAGCAACATACGGTGATATCAAAGATATTGTCAGGCAAGGCCCATTGTCTTTGCAACCATGCATTAGGATTATTTTTTTTTACTCCACGACGGGCATGAAGCTTGAGTCTAACATTTTCCACAATCTCATTATAAATGGAGACCACATCTCTATAGGAGTTTTTAAAAACCCTGTGATTCCTCTCCCTCCAACTCATATATATTGAGGTGGCGAGCATCAATTTGCCAATCAGCTTTGGAAAAGCCTTTCCCTTCATATTTGCAGCATACCAGTTAACCAAATCAAGCCAATCAAGTCTTGGCCATTGGACATTCACTTTGTTTTTCAATGAAATCCATATTCTCTCAGTGAAAGGGCATTCAAAAAAGAGGTGGTTATAAGTTTCCACTACTTCTTTGCAAAACACATAATGAGTTAATTGAATAACACCATATGATATAAGCTTGTCTTGGTGGAAAACTTGTTTTGAACAACCAACCATAAAATAAAACTGCATCTAGGCACAACCCCAGAAGACCATACAATATCAGCCCAATCTTGCATCTGGTCTTTCACTCTAATAACCTCTCAAGCAGATTTAGAGCTAAAATCTTGGTTCTAGAAGGCAGCCACAAGATAAAGTCCCTTTGACTCAGGACAGGTTTCATATTAGGAGAAATACCTCTTAGCAGCTCCATCATGTCTCTGTTTGTCGTCGACTAGTCCCACTCACCATTATTAATTATAGAACTAACTTTAGCATCTCTCCCAAGCTCACATTCCCTAATAATGGACTCTCCCTTATACTGGTAGATAGAACCTATTGGGTGCCATGGATCAAACCAGAGAAAAGTAGAGTCACCATTCCCAATCTTGTAATTCACCATTGCTATACTTTCCTTTCTCAGATTTAGAATCTTTCTCCATGCCAAAGATGACTTTTGAGGAATTTTCACACTCCAGAAGCTCCTGCCTTTTAGAAGACATGAATAAATCCAATCCACCCATATTGAGTTGTCACTTTTGCTTATAACATTCCATAGATGTTTTATAACAACAGCTTTGTTCCACAGTTCCATGCTTTTAATATAATATAATATATTTAGTTGTATAGTTAATATCAAATCAACTTCTATGCAAAATGTGTTGTAGTATTTTCTTTCTTTACAAAAATCAAGAAAAATAATTCAAACTTATCAAACTAATTTGATGTGAGAAAAACTCAGATAAATTCGTATAGAATGTTTGTATCCTTTACCACCCAAAATACATTTCTGTTAAATATTAACAGACATGTCTCTATAGAATGTGTCTCTTAATGACACTCATTGGTTGCCTATATAAACCCAAGTCATTCCAATAGATGAGACACCTCTGATAATTCATCTAACGTTAAAACTCTCTTTCTCTCTTCCCTCTCTCCCTACATAACATTTGTAAGACTTTTGTTCTGTGAAAAACCTAGTGTTGATTTGTCTTACATAACAACACCATACTGTTCAAATAATTAAAGAAAAGACGTTGATTGAGATTTTAAAGTATGTGGAACATCTTCAAATGGGTTTTTTTTTATTAAAGCGAATAAAATATGTTTTTGATCCTATGCTTCCTTAACATGTTTTATTATTCCCAACAACATAAATCACTAAATTTTTTTAAAAATAATCCATGGACTATTTCGGATGGTTATGTTGAAATCGGTATTCAAGAAATAAAGAACATAAAAGTCAAAGTCTAAGGGTATAAATTATGAAGTATAATTTTGAAACACATTTGAGGAACAATAAAAACGAAATCAAAATACAAATTTCGGGGTGTAAAACATATTTATGAGAACTTGATAGGGGACCATAGCCCCTTGGACCTTGGTCTCAAAACGCTCAAGGATCATAATTCTACTTTGATGCTTAAACACTAATGGATTTTGTTTCATGACAAAGAGAACTTCTGCTGCAAGTGGATCCGTTCTTATCATATAAGGGGTAAAGTTTAAGGGTTGCTAAACCCACTCAGACTTGATCTTGGAATTGGAGCCAACTCCTGAAGTTGAAGGATATTTTGAGGCTACACATGCTTCATATCATTGGGAATGGGTGCAGCACACACATTTGGCATGACAACTGGCATCCTAGGGGACCTCTAACCCTCAAAGGGGCTCTAAATGTCATCAACGATTTCAGATTGCCGATGAATGCTAGAGTAAGCCAGATTATTACTAATAACATATGGCAGTGGCCGCAGGGGAGAGGAAGGGAGAACTTCGAAATCTCAGGCTCTATGCCTAGCTACCCCCTAATTCCTCAAGTGAAGAATATGTCAAATGGTTTCCCTCTATTAATGGTAAGTTCTCTACTAGTTTAGCTTGGGAAATAATCAGGGGTCAGTTCCCCCGTTGTTCAATGGCATAAACTAGTGTGGCACCATATGAATACTCCAAGAATGAGTGTTGTCTTTTGGATTACAATTAGAAATAGGCTAAGTACAAAGGAAAAAATTTTCCATTTTGCCCCTCTGGTGAACCTTGAATGCATTCTCTATGGGCAGTCTTCTGAGTCCTACATTCACTTCTTTTTTGCATGTCCCTTATTTAAAGCCATTTGGCAGCAATTGTTGATTTTGTGTAACCACCAATGGTTTATGCTCCTTGGGTTGACATGGTGGAATGGATGAGCTCCAACTAGAAAGGGAAATGCTTTGGGAAGGGTATCCTCAAGCTTTGCCTTTCTATTGTTGTCTATTGCAGATGGATGGAAACGACATATACTTTCAGATTGGGCAAAGGGAAAATTAATAGTCACAAAATAGCGAATCTTGTTTAAAGCCTCCTGTAACCTAGCTCAAACACCAAAGTAAACCAATTTACACGGAGTGAAAAGACATATAAGACTCATTTACAGGGTATTTTAAAAGTTGTGGGACAAATTCTAAGACCCTCAAGTGTGCGAAAATAAAATTATCATAAAAGAGAAAAAAAGAATGGAATTGAAGATTAAAAAAAAAAAAAGGCCTACACGAGACGGAGTCTATTGAAGATTAGATATTGTAAGATCTTGTGTATTTATTCTAATTTTTAGTAGTTTATTAAGTATGATATTGAAATGTTAAATTATTGGTATGAAGTGCATCGCAAAATTGTTGTTGATAGAGTAATTATGACATTTGGGAGACTTGAAAATTTTGGGATAATCACTATTAGGTGTCGGGAAAGAAAGAATTTGACACTATTTCAGTACTTCAAGCTCTAAAAAATTGTATTTGATGAAAATTTCATGAATTGACCTTTAACTAGATCAAAATTTGTCAAAAAGTTAGCCCACATTCGGATAGAAAAAGAGGGCATCTTGATGCACCTTTGAAACTTTTGGCATAGATTTGGTTCGGGTGGAAGCAAAAATCTGATTTTGAATGTGTGTATTTTTATCCGGATAGAAGGTTTAGTCTATCTGGATATGTGAATCTACATCTGAATATGCCTCACAAAATCGAATTTCTCAGTTTTTTGCCACTTGACCTATTCTTGGGACTATATAAATACTCGGGGATCCATTTTAGGGTTTTTTTAATGTGAATTTCAACTCTAACGAGTCTATGAAAGTTTTGAGGAGAAGAAGAGATCGGATCAAATTTTGATGGGATCAACACATAGGAAACAACTTAAAGTACTCTAGGATTAATTTCTATGAAATCAAGGTAGGGTTGCTTTCTCTTGTCTAAACATTGAGGCTAGGGCTATATTTATATGTAATATTTGATTTATATTCGTATACATACTATACATCTATAATTATTTTGGTTTTCTTGCAAATCCTAGATTTTGAATACATGATTTTGCATTTGATGTGTATTTTTTGGTTCATAAACCCTAGATTTTGAATAATGTCTAATTGATATTGTTTCTTTGTGATCTCCTGCACATTTTATTGGAATTCCCCTTACTTTAAGAATTGTGGAAACTGCTGACTGCAGTATAAATGATCTATTTTAAAAACATAGTTTAAATTTCTTGTATTGTTTTTTTTTTTGCACTTGGTACATATATCATAGTATTTATATGTGTTTTTAATCTCGAGGGTTTGAAGATTTTCTATTATTCATAGTGGAGTGTTAGTTCCTTGTGAAGTTTCACACTACTATTCGTTCAAGTTGATCGAGACAAAGAATTAGTATACTACTTCTAGTAAGATTTCGTTAAATATTTAGACATCAATATACATGTTTCCTAAAAATGACGTGGCACTACAAGGACTAATTGAATGTTTTGTGTTTGTGGAGGGGTAGACGAGAAATATTTTGGTGTATTAATTGCTACTAGTCAATCGGCATATATGAGATATCCCTGTTACAAACTAGTATCTCTGAATGATTCATTATGAGATAAAATTTATGTACGTGTATCTAAATTTTAGATTGTTACTAATGCTTCATGTTTTACTTCAAAAACTTACATGTATTTTGGAAATTGAGACTTAAATATTTTTATATATTTCTAAACCCTATTTAGACATTGAAAAAGTTTGTCTATTGAGTTAAATGTTCTCACCCATTCCTTAATATTTTCAGATTTGGGTATTGAACTTGATAACGACATAGGTGAGCTTGTGGATTTGGACTTTGAGGCTTTGTGATGAAGGACTTAAAGTTAGTCTTTCTTTTGATTGAGAATAATTTATGATTTTTCATGATTGAAATAAGCTTCATTCTGAATAGTGTTAAGTTTTTTGGGTTGCATCCTTTTGCATAGTAGAATTATTGTTTTGGGATACTTTGAGATTTTTGGATGGATAATGTTGAA